AAAGGTTCTGGGTCTTGGGTTTAAGAGTAACTCTAAAAGCAGTCGCACACAGCTGTCAATGGTGCAAGACAAAGAAGAGTTCACCAAAGATACCACCAACGGGAGATCTGCCGAGTGAAAGATTGCAGTATCATCAATTTCCGTTCTCCTGCACAGCTGTAGACTACTTCGGGCCGATGCAAGTCACCATCGGAAGAAGGAACGAGAAGCGCTGGGGAGCCTTATTTACCTGTCTCACAACTAGAGCAATACATTTAGAGCTGGTACCTTCTCTCAGCACCAGCTCAATGATCATTGCACTCCGACGAATGGCAGCCAGAAGAGGAACTCCGAAAACCATATATAGCGACAACGGAACTAATTTCGTCGGAGCGAAAAGGGAATTAGAAGGAAAAGGGCATCCAGTGGAAGTCCATTCCCCCGGGAGCTCCAAACATGGGAGGCGCCTGGGAGAGGCTCGTACGAACAGTCAAAACGGCGCTAGCAGTAGTCCTCAACGAGAAGAGTCCGCCCGAGGAAGTACTCCATACGCTAATGACTGAGGTTGAACACATCGTCAACTCGAGACCTCTCACCCCGATCAGCACGGACCCAGGAGACGAGGAGAGCCTAACACCGAACCACTTTCTGCTGGGAAGATCATGCGGAGCTATGGCGCCGGGAGAGTTCAGCGACACGGAGCTCATCGGAAAGGCAAGCTGGAGAACCACCCAGAGACTCGCAGACCACTTCTGGAAAAGGTGGATTAAAGAATACTTACCTCTCCTGATGCCAAGGAAACTCGAAGGGAAAGAAACCAGAGACCCAAGGGAAGGAGACATCGTGCTAATAGTGGACGCCACATTACCGCGAAACTCATGGCCTCGCGGTGAAATCGTCAAAACCTATCCCGGACCAGACGGAAGAACCAGGGTGCTGGACGTGCGGACATCAGGTGGAATACTTCGCCGTCCAACTCGACGTGTCATCGTGCTGGTGCCAGCGGAGTCGTCGCCTCCAGAGGATGCAGTGCTACGCACCGTGGGGGAGAATGTTAGCGACGACAAAGTGAATTCGAACATTTAATATTAATTATTCCTTAGTGATTTAAAACTAAGTGATAGTATTTAATCTTAATTGTTTCCTATTCGTAAAATAAAGCTAAGTGTAAAGACTGATTAGTGCTGAAAAACAGAAAAGTAAATTAAACACTTCTATTCTTATCTTAAAGTAACTTATATGAATCTATTTAATATTATTTAGGTCTGATTAGAACATTAGACGCAAGTATAAGCTTATTTTCTAGTAAGATTTCTTTTATCATAACTTTAAGAGCTATTAACATATAGGTGATTAATATAATTCTTTTTCCTTTAAAGTAATTCAAAAGAAACATTAATATGTCAATTAATCACTATATAATGTTATTTATTATGAGAAAGATTTAAATTTCATGAAAAAATATTGTATAGATTCTTAAGCATTATTCCTGAAAAAGTGTTGTACATTCCTACCTCTTGGCGGCGCTACTTGTATGTTCGGCAAAAAAATACTATCCTACTCCGGAGCTAAACCGTGAAGCGACCGCGAAGCTATTTTTATTTTTTATAAGTGTAAAATAAAGGTTTATTAAATAATTTAGGTTTAGAATAATAGAAATAAGTTGTATCTATCGTTAGGAATAAATATAAATGTTTTAAGGTATGTTTTACCACGTTTATTAAGGAAATTGTAAATCTCTCTTAGAAAGGGTTATTCTGTGCTCTGATTGGTCAATAGATTCACTAATGCCGTGTGCGATTTTTTCTTAATTATGATTGGTTACAGCCGCTTATAAAAAGGGGCGTTTTTTCGTGGTAAAACATTCCAAATCCGGCAATGTAATAATAAGGAATCAAGAAATAAAATAAGAAGAAACTCTCAAGAAGTGTTATTTATTGCTCATCTAACAGCTACTGTATGCTCTCCAGTTAACATCCCGCCAGCAAACCCGCTCTATTTTATCAACGCTCCCTTATACGAGCAATTACAATAAGTATTAATTAATTCTATACCAGTGTCTCTTTATTGTCGTTTAATGAAAAACAATACAAGCACACGTTCCTATTATAATTAGTGTAATATTTCCCGTTACACAATAAACTATTAAAATTGTGAAGGATTGCTAACAATAATCAAAAGAAAGAATAAATTCAAAAATTCTTGTTAAATATTACGTAACTCAGAGTTTGTTATAATTTTCGAAAAGTTCTTAGTAACTTTCGAATCTAATATTATAATACTTTCATTATTAAATTAAGACTTCTTAATTTAAACTCTCGTTTCTGGCTGAAAAATTAATAGCAAGGTGAAACGTAGGGTAGATATGATTGCAATGATTCTGGACACGGTGGAAGGTTAGGAGCAAGGAGATGGTGAGTAGGGCTCAGGGCAATTTGGCATGGACGAATAGTAGTAAGGAGGTGGTGTACAAGTATCAGAGCAAGATAGTAAGCAAGAACAAGGTAAAGATGATGGGCAAGGAGAACATGGTTCTTTACAAGGTTATGATTCAAGGTTCTGAGTGTAGAGGAAATAAAGGAACATGGGAACTCGAGAAAGGAAAGGACTTGGATCTTCTGGACTTCCAAAGCACACTTCGCCTACATTGCCGATTCTGTAGCATCGTTAAGAGGCTGCGGATGCAAGCCCGAGCAGTGCTGGAATAATATTAATGAATATTATAATTTTTCTCTCATCTGTACTAGATTTACCAATTAGAAGATTCGTGTTGAGTATTTTGTAAAATTACTACCCACGAACTATTTATTACTACTTAGTATTATCATATTGGCGTTACTATATTTTAGCCATTGATGATAATAATTAAAAATTTTAATCATTTAAATAACTCAGGAAATTAAATCAAATTATTACATTTATACTAGCTTACCATGCAGACGTTGTTCTGCCCTTTTCGACGACCTTTTTTCATTTCCTATTAAAAATCCTTAAATTCGCAAAAAAAAATTGTGGGTCACTAATTGACAAAAAAAACTAACATATCTCTCAAGTTGGACCAAATTGCATACGGTGTGAAAATTTTATTAAAATCGGTTGAGTAGTTTAGGAGTCCATCGCAGACAAACAAGGTTACACGTAATTTATATATATTAAGATTAGTAATTCGTTAATTAACTTAATTGGTTTGTGACATATTAAAGGTCTAAATAATAAATTTTCGTATAATGAGCACGATTATACTAGAACTAGAATAAGCCTTCTAGAATAATTAACTATATTATTGAATAGTCCGTATATGTAGACTGCATTACCTAATTCTAATCTTATTGTTTTTAATTCCAATAGTGAGTTAAGCAAATTGTGTTTATAATTGGAAATTTGAGCTGGTAATAATTGAATTAACCGAGAAGTGGAGTGATGAAACAGTCGATGAACATCAACTCGAAATAATAAAAACTGCAGTTGCCAATCCGCATGCCAAGCATGACTAATTTGACATATGTTTAGTGGCGAAATTTTATAGGCTGTAATGGATGACTGGATCTTTCGGTCCTAGGTATTATAAAAAAATGAAATTGCAAAATCTGACGCGAAATCTTTCCCCCGGTCGAACTGACTCATTCGTGCTACAACCATAATCTCTTTGCAGCTTGTCTCTGTTGCGAAATGTAATATATAAATAGATTAAATAAATACATACTATAATATATAATTTATTTGGATGTGTGATTCATGGTCAATAAAACAAGAATAAAAAGATAACTATAATGATGACGATGAATAAGACAAACTTCTACAGTGGATCAGGTACTACAGTGGTCGGTCAAGGATTAATTTGTTTGATGAAAACAAATCCTACTTGAGAGAGTATACAGTGAACTGTAAATCGTCACAGATTATGAGTGATGACAAAATTATGACAACAATTAAACCACTTATGTCCAAATCCAACCTAGGATTGTTTTCCTTAGTATTTGTACTAGGAACAACATCGCCAGTACATGAAAATTGTGGATTATGTTATTGTGGTCATTTTGTTGTTCATTTTTCTTATGAAACACAAGCGAATAATTTTCTCAATTCCGGTTCGTTTGCGGGCCCGTCTATTTGTTCGTTCGTTAGTTTGTCTGAATGACAGACTACTACTCAGATCAGTGTATAATTGACTTCTGATTCTGATTGATTTTTTAGGCCTTCGCTAGCAATTATAAGTACAAATAAACACGTATCATAACAACAAAGGCACTAATTGCACGCGAACTAAGTTGCTAGAACAGCTAGTACTCGTATAATATAAGGAAAACGTCTACAACATAAAATCGAAACTGTAAATGTCTTTCCTAGTACAATACCAGGAAAACTATTCCCAGTTTCTATTTCATGTTGGTGTCTAAACACCAAAGATATGCTCGCAAATTCATATTGGACTTGAATTATTCTGCATTAACTCCAATATAGTCTAGACTCTAGAGTCAGAATTTACCACGCTTATAAAAATGCATCAAAGTTTGGTATCGCACAAAAATATCATAAAATTTATTGTTTATCGCTATAAACAATTTGCTTCGTGTTATTCACTCAAAATATTTAAAATTTAAAAATCAATAAATCATTGCTTATAAACGCTCAAGTGGTTGCAAATCAAACAAAATTATAACTGCTCGCCATGCATAACTTACATAACAATTACTTTTAGTATAAAAACGTAGATCTGAATAATCAGACAAAATCAGCTGAAGCGCAATGGGACGACAGACGGCATTGGGCATTTTAATTGGGTTTTATAAATAATTATTTATTTTCGTTTGCCTTTCACGTATAGAAAAAAAAACAGAAAATATTTCTTATTTATTCACAGTATTACTAGCATCAACGGCAGCGTCACCGGCACCGTTAACATTATTACCCTATTCTGAGCCATGTTACGAACCAGAAACAAGCCCCTGCTATCCCCCGTGTCCATAACCTTGTATTCCACCATGCCCTTTACCACGTCCTCCGCAACTCGCCGATCCTAGCCTGCCATCTTCAAGTAAGTATGAAAATAATTATTTGTAATTGTTCTTAAAGAATTTGAATTAATAATTGAAATTTTGCAGCACCTGACGGCCATGGACCGATGGGAGTCGTGATATCGAAGTCAATCATTCCTGAAAAATTACGCTCAGCTGGTTTCCAAGCTGTACAAGTACCAGGTGGAACATTTTATATTACCGATTCCTCTCCAGTAATCATTCAGCCAACTCCCATTTTAGTTAGACCAGCTCCACTTCATCTGATCACTCCTGCCCCTATTACTGTGCAACCCCCACAACAACCATCTGTAGTGCCCCCAAGTATAGTTGTAAGGCCTGCACCTTTGCCCCCTATAACACCTCCTCCTATCTGCGCACGTCCACCCCGGCCTGGTCGAATTCAACCGAAACACATTGTTGTAAGGTTACCAAAACCAGCACCAATTCAACCACCGCCAATCACTGTAATGCAGCCACAGCCGGCTCCAAAAAATCCACCACCAATTTTCGTGCGACGACCTACACCACCGACAGTCCAACCGCCAACAATATGCATTCCTACGTCAGCTATTTTCAAAGGCGAACCAGGCATAGAGTATTCAGGTATATCTGAACCTTGCTCTGTTCCGTGCCCAAGCTCATGTCCATATCCGTAATGTTCTAGCCCATGCGCTTCAGATACTTACGTCTTAAAACAAAATTTTGAGTGCATACCTACAAATTGTGGCCAAAAAATAAAACGATTTTATAGATCGTCTTAATCTCATCACAGATATTGGTATTGTTAAAAAATTACCAATGTATTTTTTTACTATCGGAATATCCAACCGCCTATTTTTCGAGGCCATAATTTGTAAGATATCGTTATCTATAAGATCTGTTACTAACTTACTCGACTCACGGCATATTCCCAAGGCTTATTGATTGTTTCTTATTATTTTAACATTGCATTGTATAAGAATATCCGTACAAGATATTAATTGTAAAAAACTGTTTTTAAATGCTACTTATTACAAGTTTAATATATGTTTATTAATTATTTCTTATATTTACGCTAATACTACACATTGAATAAAAATACTTTTACGGATTTTATCGCGTTCATTTTACTTTTAATTACTTTTATTTTTAATTCCCGACGTTTCGGGATAACAAGATGCAAAGGAGTGTACAAGCTGGATTGTGAATGTGGTCTCTCTTATATAGGACAAACAAAAAGATCAATTAGAACCCGCGTAAAAGAACATATAGCTGATGTGAAGCATCAACGTTCCGGGAAGTCTGCAGTTTGTGATCATATCCTATACGGCCCCAACCATTACATCATATTTGATAGACCACAAATCCTCTTGAAAGAACATCGATTCCTACCAAGGATGATACGTGAGGCAATTGAAATTAAAAAACATCCTAATTTCAATAGAGAAGGAGGCTGGGTACTACCACCTGCTTGGGATCCTATAATCAATAAAATTAAAACTAAACCATTTGCATAGATCGGACCATAAACAATAATTAAAAAAAGCTGAAGGTACTCCGGGTTTAAAAATGACATCGGGACGTCAGTCATCTCAGTCCCCCCTTGACCTGACCTGACCGTTTCGGGCGCTTTCCAGCACCCATACGTCGGGAATTAAAAATAAAAGTAATTAAAAGTAAAATAAACGCGATAAAATCCGTAAAAGTAGTTTTAATCAATATGTTTATTATTTATATTAAATATATTATTTTATGTATGCATGTGTTTATTAAAAGATTTCTTTAGCAACTGTTGGTATATTTATTGTTTTAATAAATACCTATCCATAATAAGTGATTTTACAAAGTGACATCAAGAATTTTTTTTATAAATGTTATGATCACTCCGCCTCACCTCCCCAAATTTTCAAAACGTAAATTAGTACAATTCTTAGAGGACAACACAAACCTTTCTAAAAGACAACAACCATAATTTACTTGCAGTATGATGGCTCTAGCACGTATTAAAGATGTTTACTCAGCCATAATTTTTTTATAGCATTGGGTGACCAATGAGCACAGTCTACCTGATAAGTGAATGGTGTTACCCATAGACATCCACATTTATTCTCAACTGAAGATCGAAATGCAAATGCGTTGTCACCCCTGAGAACTAAGATGGAGCGCTTCGATTTCAGTAAAAGGGTATCGAGATCTCTACAGCTGCTATTCTGTGAGAGCGTGGTCCTTCCCCGGTCGAGCTGATCTTTTCGTAATACAGCTATAATATAGCAGTACTTTACTTATATTTTATATTATGTTGTACTGATTTTTTGTTGATTGGAGCCATTACCACGGACGAGACAGAGCCTTTTAGATTCTAGTATCGCTCAGACTGATGTCTGATACTAGAATGACTCTCAAGCACCTTAAAAACGGCAAGTCCCCGGGCGAGGATGGAATTACAGCGGAGCTTCTGAAAGCGGGTGGAAAACCGGTACTTGAATTTCTTCAGAAGCTCTTTAATTCCGTCCTCCATAGTGGCACTAGTCCGGAGGCGTGGAGCAGAAGTGCGGTGGTCTTGTTCTTCAAGAAAGGTGACAACGCCCTCTTGAATAACTACAGACCGATATCCCTCCTGAGCTGCGTCTATGTGCTGTTTTCGAGAGTCATTACGAATCGTCTCGCACGCAGACTCGACGACTTCCAGCCTCCTGAACAAGCCGGTTTCCGAAAAAGCTTTAGTACCATAGAGACCACATACATACCCTTCGGCAAATTGTACAGAAGTCCCAAGAGTACAATCTGCCACTTTGCCTGGCGTACGTGGACTATGAGAAAGCCTTTTATTCCGTCGAAATTTGGGCAGTGCTACAGTCTCTTTAGCGGTGCCAAATTGACTGTCGGTATATCGAAGTGCTGAAGTGTTAGTACAGTAGGGCTACGATAGCTATCCGAGTACAGAACCAGAGTTCGACACCTATCCAACTGCAGAGAGGTGTTAGACAGGGTGACGTTATTTCCCCGAAACCCTTCACCGCTGAATTGGAAGACGTTTTCAAGCTACTGGACTGGAAAGGATACGGTATTAACATCAATTGTGAGTATATCACTCACCTTCGATTTGCTGACGATATAGTCCTTATGGCTGAATTGCTGGAGGACTTAAGAACTATGCTCAATAACCTCAATAATGCCTCCCAACGTATAGGTCTTAAGATGAACATGGACAAAACAAAGATCACGTGTAATGTCCATGTCACACCTATGCCGGTAGTTGTTGGGAGCACTAAGCTCGAAGTTGTTGACGAGTACGTTTACCTGGGACAAATAGTCCGACTAGGTAAGTCCAACTTCGACCGAGAGGTCAATGAACGGATTCAATTCGGCTAGGCAGCGTTCGGGAAATTACGACGCATCTTCTCGTCAGGTATACCTCAAAACCTGAAAAATAAGTTGTACAACCAGTGCGTGTTGCCAGTGATCACCTACGGAACCGAGACGTGGTCCTTCACTGCTGGCCGTATGATGAAGCTCAAAGTCGCTCAGCGAGCTATGGGGAGGGCTATGCTTGGAGTTTCTCTGCGTGATAAACTTAGAAATGAGGATATCCGCAGTAGAACGGATTAGTAAGCTGAAGTGGCAATGGGCCGGCCATATAGCTCGAGAAACCGACAACCGTTGGGGAAAAAGTGGTAGCCTCGTACTGGTATGCGAAGTGTAGGGCGACCCCCCACTAGATGATAGTGACTCAATATAAGATGGCGTTGGGTAAAGTCATTTGGTTTTCAGGTAGTTATAGTTATTCTTATTTTTATTTCATTTTTATTTGACTTTGAGGTTCGTACAATAAAGGGAAGTTATTTCTTTTTGGAGATTAAAAACCCTATCAAAAATACTACTACTATCATATTCTGATGTGTATATCAATCATTTCGGAATCAATATTTCTAGAATGTTATGACGCACACAACTGCCTATCGTGCTGCTTCATGTGCATAAGTGAATTTCACTAATCCTCGACATTTTATTTTTTTAGACATACAGGTTCCTTAGGAAGTTATCAAACTTTAAATCACGATCTAAGCTCGCCGATGTCACAAAGCCAGATTAATTGGCCATTAATCGGAGACCTTGGGATCTTACTGACTATTCCTATTAGTATACCCGTATCCTTAACAGCACATAATTATTTATTACACGCCTCACAACGTGAGGGAGTGCTCTACTCTCGATATGTGGCCACACATCAATTTCACTACATAAAATCGTTTTTATACTTTTATCTAGACATCAAATCCATATTATGTTTTACTAAAGTTACAATAACTACATATACCGAATTATAAGATTAGTTTTTTTTTCTAATTGATTCACTTTAAATTACATAACAAAAATGTAATTGAAAATATATATGGACTACTGTCCGTTGCTCTGTAAGTCGGTGAGTCTTCTCGTTTAATAGAAATGTAAGCAATAGATTGAGATATTATATAGTATTAAATAAGATACCATGTATTCGAAAAAGGATGCCTATGTTTTTGTTGTTTAACTTAACTTAACGTTTAAAAGTTATTAATGAACATTGATCAGATTCTCTGTTTATTTTTCTTTTAAAAATAATGGTCACCAATAATATTAATTCGTAACATAATAAGCGTGTAAGGCGTGCACTTTTGAATTTACCAAATATCAGTTATATTTATATTTTAATTCTTTGCAGCACTTATTTTGGGCAGGACTTTAAGTCAACCGATACCTGACCCAGATCCTCAAATTCCTTGCGGTGAATATCCTCCATGTAAACCCTGTGAGCCAGTACCTCCGTGTTATCCTTGTGATCCATGCTCACCTCCGTGTTCTGATGATAATGAAGCCATAAAGATTGGTCCTTGCAATCTTTCTGAGCCATCCGTTAAATATTTGTATGGTCAGGCGCCTCAGGGTAAGAATAATATATTTCATACAAACTAAATGACATTAAAATAATCTAAACTCAGTTAAATAATTAAATACATTAGAAAGTAGTTTATCCTATAAAAATTAAAACTTAATAATTTACAGGTTCAGTGGTCTTAAAGCCTGGTCAAATTCGGTTTCGGGCACCTCCCTCAATAATTGTCCGACCAAGAGCTATCCGTCTGCCAACACCACCTGCTATCTGGGTAAAACCACCACCAGTTCAACCAGCTGCCCCGGCTCCAATATACGTGCAACCAGACCCGGTGCAACAGCCTACCCCAGCACCAATTGAAGTTAGGCCTAAGCCCGTGTACCCACCTCGGCCTGCTCCGATTGTTGTTAAACCTGCGCCGGTTCAACCACTTAAGCCTGCTCCTATTAAAGTATAAATATTTGATACTGATTGTACATCATTTAAATTATTTAAAACAGTTTTTATTGTTTTAAATGAATATGATTAATACAATGTAAATGTTTATTATGTTACTCTTTAGAGACGAAGTATTTAATGATCAACTTTCAGGTACAGCCACCTCCAATACAGCCACCAGCACCGGAATTACTAGTTGTGACACTTCCCAGGATTACAGTACCGAGCCCACCCATCATCTGCTTCCAACCAAACCCGCCATCGCGCTTTAGGACTTCCAGGGCGCGGTCATTTCATTGTACCAGCCACCATGTCCATCCCCACGTATTCCGTCATATGCTTAGAAAACTAATAAGTTATCACATGATTAAATTTTAACTAAATAAGTATAATAATATATGTATAGAATCTATTAAATATATAAGCTACATTTACAATGCATGTGAGCAACTGAAATAAAGAGCGGGTATTGTCAAAAAATCACGGAGTTTTGTTAAATTATTTGTCACATTGATTTAGAAACGTTTGTACGAGGGCGGCACTGAAAATTTCGGGAATCAAGGAAGTGACACAACATTACTATTTAAAAATGTATTTATTGCTTTTCGAAGTATTCTTCGCGAAATTTGACACATTTTTCTATACGATGGACCAATGATTGAAGCAACCATTCCATTCGGAAGTTGGGGTCTCCAAAATGGCCGTTTTGTAGGCGTCCACAGCTTCTTCAGGTGATGAAAATCTCTGTCCACGCAATTTATTCTTTATTTTAGGGAAAGTATAGAAATTATTAAGGCCTATGTCGGGGCTGTACGGCGAATGGTCTAATAATTCTATGTTTTCTTGCTCTAAAAACTCTTTTGTTCTGTGTGCGGTGTGAGAACTGGCATTGTCGTGATGGAGGATGATGCGGCGGTTGCAGTTCTCTTTACGGAGTTCAGAAACGATCTGTGGCAAACAAATGCTAGATTACCATTCTGCATTAACCGTTCTTTGTCCCTCAAGAGGAATAGTCGTAACATGGCCGGTTTTGGAGACAAACCATGGCCACCATTTTTTTTGCAACACTCCGTGAACGAACAAATTTTATCCTATATCCTATATATTATTTAAACTCATTTTCGAACACCCAAACTCGTGACTGGTTTTTTGTTTCGGGTTCGTACGCATATATCCAGGATTCGTCACCTGATACTATGTTGTATGCAGCATTTGAGGATCCTGCGTGGAATCTTTCGAGAGTTCTGACGCACCAAGTAGTTTTTGCTCTTCACAGAGCGAATGCGGTATCCATCGGGAAAATAACTTTTTTCCACCTAATTGTTCATGCAAGATTATTTGTATTTGACTCCTACCAATGTATAAAGTTACCTGAATTTCGCGGTATGTTACATGTCGATCTTCCTCAATCAGCTTACGCACAGCATCAACGTTTTCTTGGGTGACTGCAGTTTTTGGACGACCTTGACGGGGATCATCACTGAGCGTGACACGTCCACGTTGAAATTCAGCAAATGAGCAATAAATTGTGGTTTCGGATGGGGATTCTCACCAAATGCAGAAGTCGTCCGATCAACACGCTGTTTTTGTGTTAAACCACTTCGAAAGTCATAATAAATCATCGCTCTTGAATTTTCTCGAGTCAATTCCATTTTCTAAATGACTAAACAAGTTTGACAAAACCTTGTGACAAGACCTAGAATCTTTTTTTTAAATAAATAAAAATTATTCGATTTTTAAAACCAAGGAGTTTTCAATTAAAAAGATTTTAATATGACAGGAACAGTGGAAATATTCCATTCCCGGTACTTTTAGTGCAGCCTAGTATGATGTTTTCTGATATTCAATGACGAATCCACATCACATGCATTAAATTATATAGACATGCCTGTGAAGTTTCTAGTCGCCCCTAGAAATATTACTGCATTCAGTTAGGTCAGCAAAAAGAAAAGTATGTTTAGTTGATTAAAACTAATTTAACAGATTTTATCGCGTTTAATTTTGACCATGGGTGACCATGGACCATGGGTGCTGGAAGGCACCCGGAACGTCGGGAATCAAAAAATAAATTAAAATTAAACGCGATAAAATCTGTAAAAGTAGTTTTAATCAATGTGTAGTGTTCGCGTAAATATAAGAAATCGTTATATTTAGTTATTTATTATTAATGCGTGATCATGGGTTGACGGCGAAAAAGATTTTACTCGAATCATCTGGCGGGTATCGTATGAGACTAGTATGTGGATTACCAAATCTCATTGCTTCACATAGATGGCGGTAAAAATAGTCTCGCATATGCCAGATAAAACATAACACACATATAAGCAACAGGATTTGAGTCCGTGCTAAACGTACGGTACTGAGTACTGATGTCACCAATCTTCGATACAAGTGTGGTAATAAATTCATCTGACTGTAGTAGAGGACTGTATCCAGAAGTTACTGAGCATTTAAAGTATAAAATTCTTAGTAAAATTTAAATTTAACAGAACTATCTGATTTCTAAAAGTTATATATCGGCTGTTTTTTTAATAGTACCTTTAAAATTAGTTTGCAATACGAAAAAAATTTTACGTGCAAAGGCCGTCATTTTGAGATGAATTAAGGAAGAGAATCGTTAGCAAATACCTTATCGATAAGGGGGAGGGGATACTGCCAAATGCGACTGTTTTTAATTTTAATTTATATTGAATATATATGCAGCGTAATTCTGATGTATGATTCATGAAATTTATAATAAAAAATAATGGTAAAATACTTAATTTAGCCTAAACATATACAAAAGATAAGGTTTTCATAGGGGTTGCCACGCATATACTCTGCGTGATAGAAATTTGAATTGGTGCTGGCTGGTATAGTGACATAAAATTTACGACTTTATTATATAGTAAAGGACAAGAAACGGAGATTCTTTTTAATGTCGGGTTATTCAATCTTAGTCTTTAGAAATAATTTCTATTTGGTTCATAATGCACTAGATGTAGGCTTAAGGTATGTGTGACCAATTCGAAATCCTTTCCGATGCTCACGATCCTTCATAACCTCAAATCAGCTCAAATGTCCGGATGCACGTAACATTTATACTTAAGTTAGTTTGAACAGATAATATGTTATTTCTATAACATTCACGTGACAAATAAACTGACGTTCTATAAATATCTGTAACAACATCAAACAAAGAAGGCTACTCTGCATTGCATTGTCACCCTGAAGACATGTTATTCTTTTCGGTAACAATGAAGTCACAGTTTGTAATTAACCAGGCTCTGCAGAAGATCATACATATCTATTTCTATTTTCGACTAAGAATCAAACTCTAATGCGTCTAAGATGAAATGCCTTGTTTCGTTACTGGTAAGCCTCAGGTTCCCGATTCGGAGTATACAAAACACAACAGCATTACGCTGGTGTTTTATGTCGGTACTGGGTACTTATTGCATGGTTCATCCCTCGTCGTGCCGCGTTCTTTTCACAGTTGCAGTGTGTTTTAACCATATGAAATCGGTATCAGACACTCAATTAGGTTAGGTTGGGATTAGAACCCCAAGAATCGTCAAAGGTCATGCGGTTGTCTAACAGTAGTACAGACAAGGGGTCATGTAAAAATGTAAATTTTAAGTAAATGTTGATCCGGTTGATTTTAAACCAGGATCCCCTGATTTAAACCCTGATGATTTACCCTAAACATATTTTCCGGCGGTTATTTCATGGATTCATTAGGTAAGCGTGAAATAGTCCCATCTAAAAAAAGGATCCGTAATATTTTTACAAGCATTCATACAAAGTTAAGTTAGAACCTATGTATTTCTAAATTTTCTCATTTCACTGATCATGTGTCATCGAATTATTTTCCCCTGCTGTTTTAACAATGTTTTTTCTTTCTCCACCGAAACCGTAATAATTATGTACCCAAATTGTTACCATTACCATTCGTGCCAGCGGGAATTGTACCCAGGTTGCTGCGTACTGTGAAATTTACAGCAAGCAACACCTGAGCGACCACGGATTCTTCTACATACTTGAAGCTACCCTTACAATAGCTTGTTTATAAAAATTGCTTACGAAAACACAAACAGGAACACTTAGCTTTTTGTTATTCAGCTTTAGGACCTTTTAATGTTAATACTTAACTTTAAGTATTAGCAAATATGAGTTCTCAAGGAAACATAACGTAACTTTGATAATTCTGTTGTTGCCATTTGATAGCCAATGAAGCGATTCAGTTTACCTTTGATCGTTTATACAATTTAAAATGTCGTTGATGCGAATGAGAACCTTTTTCTCTGTTTCGTAAAGAACATTATTCAAGTAAATATTATTCAAGTTAACACAGGTGGGAAATCGATGATACCAAATCCTACTAAGATAAACTTGAATAAAGTGAAGTTCGGTTTTAGGTCAGTCAGTCAATTAGTGCTTGCGTCTCCGCTTCAGCTCAAAATGAAATCCGATGTTTCTTTAATATTTTTGTTGATTTTCGGTGAGTGCATATTTCTTAAATTATTTTGATTTATTTATCTACTGTAATAACTATGAACATGTTAAAAAGGATTATTTTGACGACGGGATTATTTTATATTATAAAATATTTAACCCCTCCTCGTTATATATAACGAAGCTGATAAATTTGAAAACTTGAAAAAAACTGAAGCTGTTAAATAAATTTCATTCAGGGTTCATTTAAATGTAAAAAAGCACTACATACTAATAAAAATAATGTTAAAATAAAGGTACAGGAATGTGAAGATACTGGATGGCAAAACGTAATTGTTACAGCGTTTATACCTTATTAAAGTAACATCATTACTATCATTACAGCACATGTCCACTGCTGAACAAAAGCCTCCGTACATTTTTACTAATACTTCTAAAAATTTTTAGTATCATTATAGTTTTTTTCTACATTTATTTCACTAGCTGTGCTTGCGACCACCTTCGCATGGAATCAGTAATTATGCTTTTGTTGCAATTAAATATGTGATGATGATTTCTTTGAACTTTAAATCGACAAGACCCTATTCCGTATAATTTTTTTTATTAGATTAGTCAATCAGACAAATCAACAAACGAACCCACAAACAGGTTCATAAATTAATTAACAGACGGACTAAGAAACGAATTGGGTAAACTATACGCTTGTGTTTTAAATTGTAAATAAGCATCAAAAGATGCATTGTATACTATAAAAACTAGTTTTCCGACAGATTCACCATCTATGCAAATAGTTGTTTCACGTTCAATTCCATCATTCTAATATACGTACTTCAAATATATAGTAGAAGATATGAGATACGGTAAGTTCATATAAAAGATGAAAATAAAATCAAATCCGTATCCTGGTACCATTAATATTTAAAAAGGAAAATCACCTGGAAAAT